GGACGGTCGCCGCGGTTCAGCGCTGCCGGYGGCTCGGGCGGCTTCCGCGGCGTGCGCTGGCGCAGGGAGAGCCGCACTGCGGAAGCCTCAGGACAGCGCTCTCCTGCACGGCTCTCCTGCCTTTGCAGGCTGCCTGTGCCCGGGTGCTGCCTGAGCAAGTCCTGGTGCTTCCTCGGGCCTTCGTTCCTGTCATCCCTCTGGCATCAAGAAGAAAAAGCTCTGCAGCCCAGGCTGACCTTTCTCTTCTGTTCTTTTGAAGCAGTCCTGGTAGCAGAGGAAGCAAACATCTTACCTGCTCTGCCGGGGCATTCTGCTTTAAAATGTTACCATCTCCTGGATGGTGAACTCAGCAGGGCTGCATGCTCAGCCTTTTATGTCAAATAAGCCCAGGGGCTGAAAGCTATGACTGTGTTTGCAGGGATGGTAATTGGAAAGCTGTGTGTGCAGATGAAAATGATGAAGTGCTAACTATCACTAGCCCAGCATGTGGCTAGGGCTGCGAATTAAAACAGTTAAATTTTGTTACAGTGACATCTTAACTTTTGTCCTTTTGCTCTAACAACAAGAAGCTGCAGCTGTCTCTTTTGCCTCCCATACCACGGGCAGCGAACTTCTTGAAGGGCCAGATCCTTACTGTGTTTTTTCTTTTTGTTCCTGCCTCTCTAGCACCAAAGCCTGTCATGCAGTGACTGTTTGAGGAGTGCCCCCCAGCAGCGTGGTGCCCATTGGGACCCATGCAGTTTCGGGAGGGTTTAATACCCCAGCTGCCCAGAGGGGCACTGCTGCTGAGGGAAGTGGTCTCTGCCCTTTCCTCACCTTGCCCTGCGCCAGGTTTTGGCTGGCACACCTGCAGGAGGATGCAGTGCTCCCAGCCGGGCTTTTACCAAGGCAAATGAATAGACTGAAGGGCAAGGCAGACTGGGCTCGTTAGGAAAACGAACTCTCTCAGATGAGCAGATTCCCTGCTGAATAGCGTAGTTCTGTGGATTTGGTAGGAACAGCGCTGAGTTTGAAGGACAAAAAGAACAAACACAGCAGAGAGAAACAAAACACGACAGCTTAAAAAACGATTTGCAGTTTGTCTTCTCTGCAGCCTCAATTCTTCAGTGTTTGTTTTCCATGGAAGTTTTCTGGTGGTTGTACAGACTTTCTTGTCCCCTCACCCGAGAGGACCAGAAGGCGATGCAGCGCCTTTCTGGGCAGAGAGGAGGGAAATACCGTGCATAGCAGCTGAAGAGAAGGGGAGGGATTATAGTGGTGTATCAGATCAGAAATAGCCATATATTTAGAGCTGAAATAGGTGATTTACCGTGTCTTTTTTTGCGTAAATAAGGCTAGTAGACCTGATTTTGCCATCGCTCAGTTAAGAAAGATTTAATTATTTCCTGTATGTGGTCATAAACTTGCAGCTTCTACATGTAAAATTTCCTCAGGAAACCCAGTGGTTAAATTGACTCTCTGCCAGAGGCTGTGCCACGTGTTAAAACTGAGACTGGTGTTTTGATATGCATCAATTAAGCTTTATAGACTGTAATCTTAAACTGTCTGAATCCTGTTTTATCCTTTCTCTTTGAGTAAGGATTCTCTCATCTTCCAGATTAATTTTAAACATGTTTGGCGCTGAGAACAAAATCAGCAGTCATTAAGTGCAGCTGGTCTCAGGGGAGAAATAAAGTTCAGATTATCTTTGTAGTTGAAGTCAGTGTCTTTCATGGGTATTAACGGGGTATTTAGCCCCTACTCTTGCATGTGCGTATCCTCGTGTTAATAATATTAAGTTCCACGTTTTCCTTGGAGTGAGTGACCATGTTCTCATGTGTTTGCGCAGGTATGAGCTCTGTACTTTGTTGGTGCAAAGCGCTTGGGTATGAGAAGGTATTTTAGACCATGGGTGTGACTACATCAGCCGTCCACGTGCCATGGCCCAGGGGTCACGCGTAGAGTGGCAGGGTTATTCATGCAGGCCGCGTTTGGAGGCTCCAAATGCAGGAGGAGGAGGCGGTGGATGCTTTTCCTCATGATGGCAGCCTGCTTTCTTCCACCAGCTTCCTGAGAGGTGCTGGTGCTTCTGGCTTGCCGCTCCACGGAGCATCCGAGTGTCTTTGTTTGCTGGGACCACGGGACGCACCAAGCTCAATGCACACGTGTGGCGCTCACAGCAAGCGTCAGGGTAACGGGTACATGCAAAACAGATGTGGCGCTTTGGAGAAGCCCTGGGTCTGCCCTGGGATGGGCAAAGCAGAAGGCAGGCGAGGGATCACTCAGCTGCCTGTGGCTGAGGGACCCCAGCCACGGAGTTTTCCCTTTTTCCTGGAGCAATCACTGAGCATTGCAGACTGCTCCATGCCAGAGGATGTATCTGTGCTGCCTGTGTCTCTGGGGATGGTTGGTGGTGTGTATACACCTTGGGCAGAAATGCTGAAGCAGCACGTGCACATACAGGAAGGCTCCAGAGCTACGCTTTCCGAATCAATAAAGTAACACGAGGTTTTGTTGTTCTTGCAGGTTTCACTGCAAGTAAATGGTAGAAATTTTCAAATAGCTTCTGAATGATGATGCCGTCCTTGGCAGACTCTCTCGCATGCCAGACGTGCAATGGTAATCTTGAAATTCTTCAGGCATGAAGTGTCTGGCATTTCTGCTATCACCAACCCAAGCGAAACACACAGAGAAATAAAGAAGAGAAAGAGATCTAAAATAATTTGGTCAGAATGAGCTGCTTTTAATATTAAGACATCATGGTACAGTGACTTAGGCGATGCTGCAGGTGCAGTTCAGGGGCATTTGGTTCCCTTCTCAGCATGATTTGAGAGCAAGTTCTTGAGTGCAGATAGATTAGAGGAGTATTTTGGCCTGCTTGTTTTCACAAAAACCTGCAGCAAAAGGGAGATGAGAGATTTGTATACTCAGCAAATTGTGTAGCACACATTAGAAAGTTTTTATTTCTAGCTRCTGCTGGAAGCAAGACTGAATATTCCAGGCTGTGAGGGGAGATTTGATATTTCTCATAAACATGTCTTCACAAGAAGTATCTTGACAGCTTTTCGAAACTCGCAATGTTTTATTTGCATTTTAAGGCCTAAAAATACAAGGTTCTTTATGCTTGTTTGCTTTTTGTTTGTAAAGGAGGGCTGCACTTCTTTTGCTTTTCTCGTAACAAGTGTGTGTCACGCTCACCTTGTAAATGCAGTGCTGCTCTCTTGCCATGTTCTGAGACAGCTGAATAGCAAACCAGGGAAGAGAGTGGCTTAACTGTGTGCTAGGCAGGTTCKTTGCTGCTTTGAAGGGGAGAAATGTGCAATCTGGGTATAGTTTTAGTCCAGGGAGAGACCGGCACTTTCCCTGCCTTTGGCTTCCAGCAACATATGGCGAAGAAGCAGAATTGTGGGGAACAGCACTGTGCATTACTGGTATTCCTGGTTGTAAGAAATAGTAATTCTGCATTATTGGTATTCCTAGTTGTAAGAAATAGTGTTCCTGAGTGGTTACTTCATTGCAATAATTCCCCCATGGAAACAAGTTGTTGTTACCCGGAAGGTGGTGTAGGGCTTGCAGGCGTTTTAGCTCCTCAGCGAATGTTCTTCGGATACAGGATAATGTATCTGACTGGGAGGTCAACACCATGATTTCATGTTCAAAAGGCCCCTGCAGTGGTGTTTCTGCATGGTGTTTTCAACTTATGAATGAGTGAACAGTTGCTTACCACGGTCTTGGAAGCTGCTTGCTTGCTCCAAGTCAGGAAAAGCCAAGAGGACCGAGTCACTGACTTGTTGCTTTTATTTAGGCCATAAACTAAAATTGGCCACAGATATCAGCATGAATAAAGCCTTAGCATTTATTTATCATTACAGTTGTTGATAAAATAGTATGTGCCATATCTTTTGTAACTCTCATGAATATTTGCTGGTGAAAAGCCATTTTTTTTCTAGCAAAGGAGCCAGTGTTTTTCCCAAATGTTAATAATATTATAAATAACAAGGCCTCTGACGTTCAGAAGTTCTTAACTAATAAACCAAGGCCATATGAGTTTTGAATAAAACGTTTTTCATTTGCTGTTAGTTTTATAACGTCTCTTTGGAAAGGAACCAGGATTAAAAAAATGCACAAAATGTGCCACTTAAGCCCCTTTGGTAACACTGGGTGATTGCGTATTYATGTGCCAATTTAGGAAGGTGAAGTACAGGACTTTTTGCTAAGGGAAAATGTAAATTAAGAGGAGTGTGATTCATCACCCAAATGGAAATATTACAGGCCAGGGGATGGAACAGGCCGTTTTAAAGGAAGCTACTGAAAATAGACAGCGAGAAGCATTTTGTTTGTACTGAAGCAGATGTTCCAGTTACCTTTCCTACAAGAAGGGGAGCTGTTTGGAGTCAAGGCCGCTAGCAGAAAGAAGCTCACAGTGTCCATCTGTTTGCAATAGCAGCTATGCCCGCAGCAGGCCAGCTTTGAGAACTTGCAACTATCATCTGAGGTACTCAGATTATAAAGAGAAYAGTTGTTCTTACTAAAGGCAATGTGCTTTTGCAAGCACATTAATCAAACATGCTTCAGTTTTGCAGGGTTTGTTTCTCCCAAGTTGCTCAGCACGCACGCTCGGCCTGCTGTTTCCTCAGCATTGCGTGCCATCCGTGTTAGGAGTTTGTCAATGCTGTACAACTTTTGTCTAAAAAACATGGGTTACTTYTTAAAGTTTAGAAGAGGAGCATAAATTTGTACAGTGAAACAGTTTCAGCCCATAAATTTTTGTTGTTGACACAAACACCTACCGATATTCACAGTATTGGGCATTGTGGATTTCTGGAGTGGGAAACATTGACAGGAGGGTAATTCTGTCGGAATCCTTTGTAGGTTCTGCACACATGGCATGAATTTTGAGGAACAACATGGATCTACAAGTAATAAATGTGTTTGAGATGTTGGCAAACACTTTTTTTTTTTAGCAGTGTATGTGAGCTGATTTTGCTTGTAGTCTTGTTGCTTACATTACTTTACTCAAGATGATGTCTGATCTTGTCAAGATCATGAAGGGCTCTGATCACTTTCAGGGTAGCGTGTCCAGCTCTCTGCTAGAAGAACCCTGGACCTTCTASGGTCAAATCCTGAGGGTGATAATACTATGCTTGGCTTAACATTGTTTCATGTACTCAGATTCAATAGATAACTTCAATAGCACTGCAGGCTAAAAAGCCTAAATTAGAGATTTTACTTGACTGGTCTGTGTTACTGCAGCTGTTAATTCTGTGGCATGTGGCCTTGTGCTCAGAAATACCTCCGTGTATCTTGATGCAGCTACTCCTGAGGAGCCACCGAGGGTGGATGCTCTGCTAAGAACMTTCTTCCTTTCGGGAAACATATAAATTGTTCTGCTTCCTGTACTACCTGCTGGCGGCAATTCCCCTTGAGCTTTTGAGTAGCTAGATGTATCAATTTGCTCTTTTTTGATGGATTGTGAGATTTCTGAACTTGTGCTAATTTTCCCCCATGTTAACAAATCTTCTTTAATATTGTTATTGGCATGTAAAATGAATAGTATTGTGTTAGACCCGTGGTTGGAGTTATAAATGAATGCATCATAGAAAGCCAGAAACACCATGTCTCATGAAAGGAAGAAAGGCTTAGTTAATTACAGCATTAAAATTGTTTTCCTATAGAAAACAACACCACAACCATTTGATGCTCAGAGCTAGCTGGCAGTTATTTTCTTTACAATGTTTGATGCCCCTAGTCCTTGTGTCCCCTTGTGTTCTCCTATCCTGTTAGGAATGCCCCAACAAGAACGAAGCAACAGGAAGGCACTCTTGCTTCCTTGGGGCGTTTATCCTTCCTTTCCACAGACTGATTTCCTGTGTACCCAAGTGTTGAGGGACCGTGAAATTTGCAGCAACCCTCCGATCAGCCATGATCCCAACTTGAACAGCAGGAGCGACAGCTACAGGGTCTTTTGTCACCGTTGTCGCCCCTGTGCGTGACCTGCCCAGGGGCAGCCCAGCGGGTGCTGGGCCCTGCTGGGCCGTGGGTGCRGAGCGGCCGGCGAAGCCGCGAGGGGAGCGCCCTGCAGCTGACGCCTCTGTGTCCTCCCGCAGGCGACGGATGCGGCCACACCGTGCTGGGCCCCGAGAGCGGGACCCTCGCCTCCATAAACTACCCGCAGACCTCTCCCAACAGCACCGTCTGCGAGTGGGAGATTCGGGTGAAGCCTGGCCAGCGAGTTCAGCTCAGATTCGGCGACTTCGATATCGATGACTCGGATTCCTGTCATTCCAGCTACCTGAGGGTTCACAATGGGATTGGCCCCGCCAGGACAGAGATAGGTAGGAGTTGTTTTCCATACTTGAAAGCTGTTGTGGTGGCAGCATTTCTGTTGCTCCTAGGGACCTTCATGAACCTGCTCTGGGCATAGAGCAAGTGCACTGTGTGTCATACTYAGTTATCTGCTAGGTCCTGAAAACCTGTTGCAAGTCAGTTGTATTTTGGGCAGTCAGAGACCTTGCTAGATATATACATGCAACAATTTGTATTGTGTGGGCTTCAGAGTCTTAGGAGAAATGGTGTGTACTGTATACGGGAATTTTGCATGAGCAAGAGAAAGGAATTTTAGTAATTTCGTAATCAGAGTTGTGTTTTTTCCTGAGCCTGTCACTGGGGGGAAACCCTGCCAAACTTATCTTATCATGGCATTGTCTGTTTTACTTTGTTGTTGGTGGTTTTGTTTTATTCATTTTTCTCCTTTTTTTTTTCTTTTTTTTTTTTTTTTGACAGCACAGGTTAAACCAAATTGAACTTCTTGACTGTTTTTGGTGTTTTTTTTTTTTTTTTTTTTCAGATAGCACCAATCTGCTCTGAGGTGTGTGCAGGGCTTTTAAAATCTTTGTCACTATTTTGCATTAAACTCAAAATGAATTGTCATTTTTGCTTCGCTTGACTTAGATTTTATTATGCTGAATTTTTTTCCCTAACCACTTTAATCTGTRGAGAGAGAGAGAGAGGTGTTTACTTCAGTAACCTGGTTTTTGTTTGATTCAAATCCTGCTCTCTCTAAATCACTCTTTTTATGAAGAGGCTAGAGGAACGTTAGCTTAAAGCTCTTGTCCAACTGTTACCTAGGTAAGCGTGTCTGAAAATAAGTATGTGCTCGGAGCTGCTGAGCCAGCCTTGCTCTAAAATAGCAAAGCACTGAAGTCCTTAAATGGCAAGGAACGTCCAGTTCTGATAAGTCTATTACTCACTTTTACAAGTGATTTAATGGGCTCGAGTAAATTTTCTCCTTCATTAGTTTCTCTGGACTTTGAGCTGTTCCCAGCTGGTGTGGCAGCACAGTGTGCTGAGCGAGCACGTGTGGGCTTCTGCTGCTAATAAATTAACTCACAGAACATACAGAGATAGTAATCCTGACAGATAAAGATGATGCAGTTTCTTGAACGCTCATGTTTGAAACAAGGAGCAGTGGTGAGATTAGACACAGTGGCTTAAATYTGTTTGGAAGAAATTATTTTCTGGATTTATCCTTTGTTTTTTKCATTCCGTGCTATTATTGTGATCTAACCTTGGAAAGCTTCTATGAAATAGAATTTGGAAGTCAGTGGTAACATTCTTAATACAAAATGAGTTAAAAATAGCTACTTAGTTTCAAAGTAGAGTTGTCAGTAGATTGGTTCATTGATAAGTGGATAAAGTCTCCAGTAAGCTAAGCTCRAGGGCTAGCTCTCATTCCAGGTCTTATGAATACTTGCTAGTAAACGAGAAGATCTGTATCCTCTAGTTTAATGAGAGCAGAGGGTGTTTGGTGTCAGATGCCACTGCAATCCCAGCAGAATGCAGACTCCAGACAGATTAATTTTGCGTGTTCTGTGTAAGGCTGGCTCTGCAGGAGCAGAAGGYGCAAGCGGCCATGGGAGTTCCCCCACCTCCTGTAGCCAAAGGGCTGTGGACTCCTTCAATGCATCAACACAGGGAAATCAGTAATTTTACCTCTCCTATATATAGCATTAAGGATAACATTTTCACAGAATCACAGAATGGTTGAGRTTGGCAGGGACCTCCAGAGATCATCTAGTCCAACCCCCTSCTCCAGCCAGGGCACCCAGAGCGCGGGGTTTGCCTATTTGTGGGGCCACCTTTTTGAAACATTTGTTGAAGAGCTGAAGAGAAGCCAGGGAAGAGCAAGAAGGATGATTTATAGCTGATAACAAAGCAYCATGAGGTGCAACACTCTGCTCTTCCTCGGCGGCTGTATGTGTGTGGCACACAGCATGGTTTTCCCARGCTAGACTGGAAGGTCTTGCTGTGTGCATTTGCCCAAAGAAGAGGTTAAATGGATCTGGAGGGCACTCTGAACAGCCTGCCCTGAGAGGGCTGTGCTCGTCAATGGTGTAATGACATCCAGTGGCTGAAAATGAAATTATATATTTAAAAAAAAGAAAAAAAAAAAAAGCAGATGGGAACATGATGTGATTTGTCATAATTCACTTAAATCACTGAAATATGACTTGGAGCAAAACATGGGATCGATGTGGAGCCGTGGCAAAAGCTAATTTATTATTTTGCAATTCTTGCTGATGAGCAGCTTGCACAATGAGTTAAAGTGAGCTGATGTTTATATAATTTCAGAAATTTAATTAAAATATGTTAAAATTATCTGTTTTCTATTTCCATTAGAAAATACCTAATCAGAGTAAGCAACACTTTGAAAACACTCACTGAAGAATGATAGGAATTTATAATTTATTTTAATAGTATTTGAGAGAGCAGTTCACTTGTTAAAGGCATTTGATATATATTAGCATATTTATTTACAGCTGTTTCTTTTTGTTATCCCAGTCCCTCTATCTTAGTCGTGTTGTTCCCTATAATTCAGAAGGGAGTCTGGCTTCTCTCTTGCTATTCCCAGTGTGATAAAGTTCTTACCCACTGATGACAAATATGTGAAGTGGACTTGCAACTCTGCTGATCTGCTGCAAGAATCTTAAATAGGATCGTAGATGTTTTATATCATTGAGAGCCTGCAGAAGACAAGATATTTTTCTCTGAACTACTTAATAAACTTACTAGTAGCTTGTTACAGTTCCTTGTTAGCAGGACTGCTGATCTTCGTATTGACTTGAGTCTGTTTAACAGGCATCCATCCAAGTAATATCAAATCTTCTGGTAATTCTAAAACTTTATAGGCAAATATTCTCAAAACTGCAGGTTCCAGCTTGAAATGAATTATTTCTCATCTTTTTGGGTGACAGAAGAAATGCAAATTCAGATGCAAAACTAGTGCAAGCTGGTACAGCTTTTTTTTTTTTATTTTGTTTTTATTCTTTTGGTTCCAGTATTTCTCCCAGATTTTCTGAGTGCACCAATGGGAAATGGAAAATTAACTGGTTGACAGYTTGTCATAATGGTTTGCAGATATGATTTTATGTTAATGCTGAAGTGGACTGAATGATGCTGTTGTACAAAATTAAGAAAAGCAGCTGACAGAAACTCTGAAACAGTGCACAAGGGAGAGCCACCCCTGCAACAGAGGAAAGAGGAAGGGGCCCTTCCCTTACATTCCCTTCTGTAGATGATTTTTGTTGCCCTAACTTGTTGCTTTTTCTTAGTAGCTTTCTCATGATCTTTGAAAACTGAATGTGAGCACTACGTGTAGATAGATAGATAAGATCACATTTGTTTGCAAGTGCTTTAAGGTGTTYGAGGCCTCTTGATGGTGACAAAATCTACTAGAGATGGTGATTGTACTATTTGCTTTAAATGCACACTGAATTCATTTATTAATATCATCTCCATGGATTTGTTTCCAGCTGTGCACTAGGTGTAACATGAGTTTACATTACATATGAAAAAAAAAGAGATGCTTATTACCTACRTTGTTTTGTGTGTGTGTCCCTCCCTCAGGAAAATACTGTGGCTTTGGCTTTCAGATGGATGGTTTAATTAAATCGAGAAGCAACGAAGTGACGGTGCAGTTCATGAGCGGGACGCACACGTCTGGGCGAGGGTTTCTGGCCTCGTATTCAACCACCGACAAGTCAGGTATTTATCAGAGCCTGGCCTCACAAAGCGGCCCCAATGCTGCCTTAGCTTCCAAACGGAAGGATATTAAAGCCGTCTTCCTGAGACTTCTGCCAAGGAAACTGGAGGGCTAAATWACTACTTAAGTTACTGTAGTTTAAGAATAGGAGATCAGAGGCTTTCCCTGTGTAACAAAGTAAGAATCACAGTCAGCTATTATGAGTGAAACTGCTGTCTGGATAAGGGATGAATAAATATATTCAGAATAAAATAATCAGGACAGCAGCCTGAAAGGTTCTGAACCATCTGAAAGATTTTCTTAGGGAACATGTCTATATTTCATATCAAACCACCTCCTGTAAAAGTTAATTTCATTAACAGGCTCCTATATATCCATGACTCTTTATGTGATATACCTACTGCTTTTTAGTTTTCTTTGCCATTTTTTYCCCTGCTGCCATCATGTTTCAGGTGACTCCAGCCTTTAGCAGAAGCTACTGTGTTTGTCCTGCATCTCTCTCCACCGACTGTACACATGAATAACTCAGGCAGGCCGTCAAGAAACAAAGGGTTGCCAGCAATTGCTTTGCAAGGCACAGTGTTTGAGGAAGACCCTTGCAAGAAATAGTTCTGAAAAGAATAAATGAAGAATTTATATTTTTAATGTTAATTATGTGGCTTTTCTGATATAACACAAATAGAACCATAATATTTGAGATATCACTTGTGAGTACCAGTAATTTGGTACTCTGTTCCCTCTGCTGCCTGTTTCATTGCTGCAGGACTGTACTGTTAAATACTTAAAACTCAGACCTATTTACTTCTCTGTTTCTTCTGAAAAGGATGTACATGTGTTACCTTCATAGCTTCTGTAAAGCATAACTATACATGAAAACTAGACAGCATGAAATATGAGTTAGGTTTAGTGCTGCTTTGCTTGTCATCACTATAATCCTGTTGGGCTTCCCAGTTACTCAGACAAGTTATCAAGGTTTACTGTAACATAAAATCTGTTGCAATGCTGCTGTTCATTAGAATATGCTTTCTCAATCTGAGGCTTTTGGTTGAGATAGATTCAGATACATGATTTTTTTGTGTACTTTTAAAAATCAGACTCAAATTTGTTTTCTTTATCATCCCCTTTGACATGACTTTTTTYTTTTTCTTTCCAGATCTAATTACCTGTTTAGAGAATGCGAGTCACTTCTCTGAACCAGAATTCAAGTAAGACTATTTTGCCTGTCCTCCTCTCTGCTGAAGTCACTGTAAGGTTTCTTCTTCACTCTGTTGCTTACACCTGATACGTGTTGAAAGCTAGCTGTCCAGAAGACTTAAGAAATAAAATAATTAGGATTAGAGCTGCATATTTTTGACATTTACACTTCTCTTTTCTCCTATCTACCATTCTGTAACCTTACATGCAGGATACGATAGAATCTCATTAATTTGCACTACCACACAGAAGCTTTTAGAGTGTCTTATTCCTGTAATGTTGTGTTACAGCACATATGTACCTTAAGTACTGAAATTTGTACTGCAGTTCTCAAAGGAGCACTAAACTGCAAAATGGATTAAAAAATCACAAGCACATCTCCCAGCTTGGGGTAAATTAATGAGGTATAAATATTAATGAGATATAAAATGCTGTTTCTTCTGATAAAGGAAACATGATCATTTCCCTTTTTTTCTTTTTCCTCACTTCCATTTAAAGTCAGGGCAGTGTTCAAAACTTTAGATTATTATGAATTCTGTAAACTAAGTTTTGGAGATGCTAAATCCTGATGTCTTTAAACCTTTCAAGGTGCAACCTTTGCATTTCTCTTCGTTACCCCAAGTCCCAAATCAAGGCTGCCACTGTAGCTTCTGCCCTTATTCAACATGGGCTGCAGTCCCCACACCCCCTCCCTTCCATGGGACATGTGTAGTATCTTACAGCTGTGGTTGAATTGCAGCAAAAATGTGACAATTCACTTTAGAATCGTCACGTTTTAATGGTTTTTGTATGCACAGTATAAAACAGCACTAGAGTGCAAATGTACAGCAGAGGCACAGCTGTCTCTCCACTTGCTTTTGATGAGATAGTATAAATTAAATTTGGTCATTCTTTTATAATCAAATCATTGCCGGGAGCTGCTATAAGATAGCATTACTTTTCAAGCACACTATTTAAAAGAAGCAGAATATGTAGATATGGAAGTCCTCACAAAATACATCCACAGTTTTGGGGACCTACATGTGCAAGTAATTTCCAATTGATGTTAGTTGTGCCTTATTTATATTATAAAATGCTTGCTATATTAATTCACTGCATTCAAACTGGATCTGTCTCCTTCAACTGAGATATTCCTCTGTCTTCTCAAAGGCATCTTACCTTGTATTCTTGTCTTTATGAGTATGTTTTTGTCTGCTTTGATAGCTGTCTTAAGATGTATCATTGCATAGCTGTATATGAATGATAACATAGTGAATTGCAAATCAAAAAATACTGCTCCTCTAAAAAATATATATAATGTGAATACATATATGAGTTGTGGTCAYATGCATATCTTGTCTTGATATTTTTTTCTTTTCCAGTAAGTATTGCCCAGCTGGATGCGTGATTCCTTTTGCTGATATTTCTGGGACTATTCCCCATGGATACAGAGATGTAAGTAAAYGAAATAATAGGGGGACTCATGTGAATTTTGATTTTTAAAGAAACCAAAAACATATATGATTGAAATGATATTAGAGTTACCCACGTTAGCTCTGCTGCCTGGGTTCTGGAAGCTGTATCCCCTGAAGGGAATAAGCTACTGTTTTTTTACACACCAGCTGAATGGCTGGTGCTTCAGATGCAGGCCCTTCCAAGTGACGTAGTGTACTAGAGACTCAAACGTTTTTGCAAAGTCTGCTGAGAAAGGGGCATCATCAAAATATTTCTTGATGCTTSCCATTTTTTTTGTTGGCTTTCCCAAGTGTGAAAACATCACGTATGTAAAGAAAAAAAACATTTTTTTTAATGATGTCATCTAATTTATGACACCATGATACCTCTCACTCAGCCTGTCAGTGGTTGCCTTGTTTATTATTACAAAATGAGATAAGGAATATTGTTTGCACTCAGCAGCTATGAAATTTCTATGTTTACTAAGAAATCTGCAAAAGCTTTTGTCCCTACTTTTCAAATGTCAGCTTTTGTAACAGAAGTAGGATATCTGTCATAGGACTGGAAGTTATTGACTCTGTTTATTTTTAAAGAGTATCACTTTGCTATAAAATTAAATSAAATTAAACCTCAGTACCTGCTTTTCTTAAAGTATTATTTTAATAAGCAGTTAGCTCAAGTACAAAGAAAGAATTTAAAAATTTTAATAAGCAAGGATTTTTAATAGTTAACATGAACTTAAAGCATGCTTATCTCTGATATTCTTTTCTCAAATATTTGCAAATCCTAGGCCCAGGTGCAGTATTGCCACCACATATGTTGCATGTGCTGGCCCCCAGTGACTCCTTCCCACATGGCAGTCAGATAGCTCTTGTGTCTGTCAGTAAGACGAAGCCAATTCTCTGCTTAACAGGTTTGCAGCATCTGTAGGAGTTCTGCTTCTTAGTTTCCTTCCTTCCTTTTTTTTTTTAATCCTAAAATCTGGAAAAAAAAATACTTTTGTGGAAGGAAAAGGAGGTTTGGGGAAGTAAATTCCTTGGGACTACCTTTTTGTATATTTTATTGCTCAGAATAGAAGGCAGAGAATTTCCAAGACATCAAGTGATGGAGAAGGAAAGGAAATTGTCCTTCACTGTAGACTATGTTTCAGGTAGAGATTTCTCTTGCAGCCCTCTCTAATGATCTGAGCTGCTCGTTGGTTTAAAAATGCCCGAACCCTTGATTCGTTTGTGTGTGACCCTGAGGTCCCCAGGCCTCGGGGACCTGGGGCGCCTGTTGCCRACATCCTCTTGCACACAGTGAGGAGACCTCCTCAGGCTGCAGAATCCCCTGCCCTTTCCAAGCAGGAGTAAGAGGGAAAGGGGAGCTATGAATGGATCAGCCAGAACTATTTACATTTACTGGAATTTTGGGGGGATATTTTGAGGATGGGAAGCAGAGAAGAACGCTGCTCTAGTTGTGCATAAAATTGTTTTCTAGCTTTGCTCTAGCTGTGTTATAGGTTTGAGGGCCTGCTCCAAAACACTTGACAATTAAGCAGTAAGTGTTGACTTGCAGGGTTAAGCCAGTCYTGTGTCTGGGTAGAAAAAGTGCAAGTGTCACTCACTACCACAGGTGTTGGCAGATCCAGGCTAACAATATTCTGGGGCAGAAGGGAGGAACAGTGTCCTGCAAAAGTGCTCTGAGTAACTGATCTCTGCAGGCCTGTACTACGTAGGCAATGGGAGTCCTTGGAGCACATTTTAGTCACATATTATTGTCCCTGTGTGTGGGTCACACTGGTGGATGGCTACGGCATGCTCAACCGTGAGTTAAAACAAGAAACACATCCCATCAGCTAAACTTGGAAAGTTGGCTGTGCATCAGTCCTTAATCATGAGATAATGAACTTTGTGTGCTATTAAAAGAATTTCTATGTGTGTCTATTGCACATCTGCTCTCTGGTGTAAAAGAATAAATTCCATAATAAAAGAAAAATGAGTCGCTTCTAACAGGAGCACAGGTAACAACAATTTGCATTATGGAATAATAACAACAGAACATTATTTATAATAATAATGATAACAGTGTATTATTTACAGCGTCATGCTTATCTACAGTTACTGATTCACAGTGTAGCATTATGTTTTTCTTCTTCCCTCTTCAAGTCCTCCTCCCTCTGCATGGCTGGCGTTCACGCGGGCGTTGTGTCGAATACTCTGGGCGGCCAGATCAATGTTGTCATCAGCAAAGGCATTCCCTATTACGAAGGCTCTCTGGCTAACAATGTCACCTCAAGAGTGTAAGTGTATCTCCTMTGTCCTCCTTATCTTTGGCACTGGAGATCTGGGCAACATCTGATCCTGAGAGTAATTTTAAATAGTGGAGCTGCCTCCTCCGTGGRCAAATTCTGTTCTGTAATGTCCTCWTGATGCTCTCTTGCTGTGGAATGGTTATCGCTTCATGTTTTAACCCCTACACCATAAAGATTAATTTTCCAATTTCTACAAGGAATTTTATCTTCTGAAATACTGATGTGAATGTCACATCTGAAACAGTAATTTGAATGCAATTTACAGCCCAGTTTCGTTCTTCTAGTTTGTTATTCCTAACTCTTTTTTATTTTTATAGAATACTCTCATTCTCTTTCTATAAAAAGAAGGGGACAATAGATATAGAAGGTAGATAGTAATTTTCTCACAGAATTGTTTTGCAGGATAGTGCTGCACACAGTGCTAATCTTGTCTTCATGTCAGAACAATGTGCGTGGGATTCCCTTAAGGGAAAAGAGGGAGAAGAGGGTTTTGTTTTGTTTTGTTTTTCCAGTTCTATAGTGTAATCCAGTATGTAGGAATAATTCAGCAGAGTATCCCTGTCTTTTTCACAAGACCCTAGAAAAGTAAGGTGGTAAGTGCTAATWGCTTGGTTTGGTAGTGATGGGAGGAATCTGGGGCCTAAAGGTCCCCTGCACTGGACGAGCGCCGTTTTGTCCTGGGAKGCCTGACACGAGGCTGGGCAGCTCAGGCAGCTCTGTGCATTGGTGGGGAACTSGCTGCGGGACGTGGCCAGATGAAATCTGAATAATGAGTAACAGATTCTTGGGGAGGGTGGAAAATATCAGTACATCATATTGTGGAGGTGGTGGAAATTTCTAAGCGTTTGAATACAATGCTTTTGGAAAATCAAAAGCTTGGGKTTTTTTCCCCCTTCCTGTCCTTAGGCTTTCTGTGAGCTTGAAGCATGAAAACTTTAGTAAGAATACAGGAGCTTGCAGAATTGTGYTTGCATTCGATCAATATATTGGTGTTTCTGTAGTAGCTGTGTGTGGATGTGGATGGAAGAGGGATGTTTTGCAAGGGAAACCAGTGTCCCAGTGCTGAAAGTGACTCAARGGGACTGATTCTTGTTTCTATTGTTAGCTTAACTTGATAAACAAAGCATTTTAAYGAACCTTTTATATTTTGCTGCCTTTGTTTGAAAGGCTTTCATAGAGATCATGTCTCCCAACTACACTGCAGGTGAAAAGGGGTTTGCATTTAAAGTGCTTCAGCTTGGTAGTGGAAAGTGTTACTTTGATCATGACGGGCGCTTCTTTAGGAATATGTGCGTGGGCTTCAAAGGCAGGAGTCAGATAAGAGAAAGGAACCATCAGTTTGTTCCAGTTTTGCCTAGTGACCGTCACAAAACCCGGCTTCTTTTGTTCTCCACAGGGGACCATTATCTACGAGTCTCTTCACCTTTAAGACAAGCGGTAAGCATGAGCACATGAAGTACACATTGCTATTCTTGTACAAATATTCTGAGGAGAAGTAAGTGTCCGTGTGGTTCATTGCTTAATTTTTGTTCTGATCGGTGAGTTTTTTTTTYTAAATGACATTCCTCAATAACATATATTTTTAATTTACTGGCTTGTTTTGATCACTGGTTCTCCAAGTGCTTCATGCATATATAAACAAATACTGTATTTAATACTTAAGTTTGTTTTTATTCAGCTGCTTATAGCCACATACCTGTTTGTTCTGCTAAGTTAATGCTCTCCCTAGGTATATTTAAGATATTCCAAAATCTGCTCTCTCAGGAATGTAGGGTGGTTGTCCTGCCAGTGTCTTTTAAAATCTTGCTGCTGCCTAGTATTTAGTAAGCTTTGCTCATCTGCAGAAAAATTCTTTCATGTTTGGTTCTTGTGTTACAATCTCTCTTAAGGTGTTATAATCTGGTTTCTTTACTTCAAACTCACTGGTAAAGCAGCGTTTTTAAAGCTTTCCTTACTTTCCATGTTTTTACTTTGAATTGTTTATTTTCTCTTCAGATGAAGATTAGCTGTAGGTTTTAGAAAGAAAGCGGCCTTTCTGTTGATCGCTCTAAATGTCACCCTTGAGTGAGTGTTAGAAATACAATAAAGATGTTGATCTTGTAACTAATGCCATTTAAATAACAAATCTAACAAAAGCAGTGGGTGCCTATTTAGCAAGGATAATGTAAATATGGAAAATCATATACATTACCCCCCTCCCAAAATAAACAAATACTTTTCCTAATGCATCAACGAAGGTCAGTTGTGCTGCATGGGGAGTGAGGGCAGGAAGCTGACAGATGTGAGTGTTTGGAGATGAAAATTAAGACAACTCAGCAAAAATTAGAAAATACAATGCACATAGTATTCCAGTAATTTCTCTCCCAGACCCCTGCAAGACTTGGAATAAGGAATTGCATGTCGGCTGACCTAATGACTATTAAAGCACAAGCACAGTGACCRGGCACGTTGCTTGTCAGAGCTGTGGGTCACAGTGTTTCGAGTGCAGGGATGGGGAATGTGGATGCTGCTGGTGGGGCCCTGGCAGGGCCTTGCTGCAACTCTGCCCCACGGCGCCCTCGGCAGCGGTGGGGAAGCAGCTGCGGGCAGATGGGGCTCCCTGCTGAGCCATCCCGGGAATACCTAGTGGAGAGGGGAAGGCCGCTGGCACTGCCGGGCACCATCTGTACGAGAGCACAGGGATACCTGCTCGCCACATGCATTTAACTGGAATTTGTAGTAGCTGTCTTCTCACCATTAGTCTGAGGCAAGCAAAATAACATTTAATACTGAAAACCAGAGCTTGGGCCCAGCATCACTGGGAGAGAGCAGGGGAGGACAAGAGTTTTGTCAGCAGTGTCGTTCCTATAGAAATGTCTGTGATTGTAACGTTTGCGTGTCAGCTTTTAAACGCGGAGCAAGTAAAATCTTCGTGTAACCTTGGTTTTTCCATTTGAATCTTTACCTCTTCCATTGCCTAGGTTGCTATGGGACGCTGGGGATGGAATCTGGAGTAATCCCTGATTCCCAGATTACGGCATCATCTGTCCTTGAGTGGTCTGACCAGATGGGACAAGTGAACATTTGGAAACCTGAGAACGCCAGGCTGAAAAGGCCAGGGCCTCCTTGGGCTGCTTTTATCAGCAATGAGCAGCAGTGGTTGCAGATAGACTTGAATAAGGAAAAGAGAATAACAGGTAAGTGAACCTGCTGTGCCCCCTTAATTCAGGGAAGGAATTCTTGAAGCAAATCCTGTCTCTTTTTTTTTTTTTTTTTTTTTTACTGGAGCCTTAACATTTGAGCCTTTTCTATAACTGGAAATCTTCACTTTCACAGGTATTATAACCACTGGGTCAACCTTACCTGAGCACTACTATTATGTGTCAGCCTACAGAATTTTATACAGTGATGATGCACAGAAATGGATGGTGTACAGAGAACCTGGCATTGATAAAGATAAGGTAAACATACCACACATTTTCTAGGTATGTTCTATATAGATTTCAGAATTGTAAATATGACTAGCTTTGGTATGGAGACGAACATTAAATAACTATTTTTGAGTGTGATTTGAATCACAAACAGCATTTATATAAAAGGAAATGTGAAAATGTGGAAATATGTGAGGATTTGAAGAATAGTTTTGAAATGGAGAAATGACTATGTGAAGAGGCTTCTGTTTCCTGCAGTACACCATTTGGCACTGCATCCCTTGTGGAATAATTAGACTTTTTTCCAAATAGGTTTTATTTTTCAAAAGTAGGATTTCTGATTCTCATCATATTCTGAACATAGTATAAATACCAGGGGTTATATTATTTTCTCCTTTTGTATTTTTTTGAAAAAGCAGTGCTACATTGAGATTCCAGATGCCTTCTTGCTTTAGGAAGAATTACCTAATGTAATCAACAAGATAATCTCTTTTTCCTCGTGTTTAAGATTTCTCAGTACCTCATACACTGTAAAACTGAGAAGATGAATGCACTACCTGTTCTTCACAGAGGTTAATGACAAATTTTGTTAAAAATTATGGATTCTTGCTAACCCCACTAGAAATAGCTTTTCCTCAGTTTTCTTAAAATTCTTAGATACATTTTGCCTTTCTTTTATAGGCCTGTGGTGTCACATACAGATGGAATAAAAAAGATTTATTTAGTTCATTTAGGATCCTTTGTCAGTTGATCTCATTAAATCAGTCTTTCAGACTTCCTATTCAAGATATATTTGGTTTTAATGGTCTGTGTAGCTACTGAGGCAGCTTGCAGATGTAAGCCACAAAAAGCATTTGGCATGTTTTTCCTCCATAAAAATTCCTAGTCCACTTCACTSCTTTTTAGACAGATAAAAGCAGAGTGTTTTGGGAAGGGGAAGTCTTAAGCCCTACTTAATTTTTCTTCCGTTTACAATGGATTAAAAGTATTTCCAGGTGGGCTGTGACAGTCATTTCCACTCCAGCTGCCTCCTCCAAGCTTGCCTCTAGGTTCTGTCTCTCGTTTCTTCCAACAGTGACTTACAGAGACTTACAAAAGCTTCTGCAAGGAGATGTCCATTTCTTCCCAGTCCCCAGCCTTGCAAATGGTCCCCAGCCCATAGATAAAGCCACAGAGCATCCATCAGCATCTGACATGAGGAACTAAAACCTCTGCACTTGGTAGCAGTCATTGCAAGCAGGAAAGTGCTGGGGATCTGGGCTGTAGTTAGATTCCCAAGGAGTTGTTTTAGCTGAGTTCCTAGTGAAGTTTAATCATCTGAGCTGCAGATTTCTGCCTAGGAAAATAGAACAGATTTCAGTGGTTAAAAATACCTTTGCTGTTGCACTTCCAGCCCTCCTATTGACAAGGTTAGATATATAAATATCTGCCTTGTAAAATTAAGAGCTTTGGACATAATCACGCAGGGAAACCTTCCTGAAAGGAGAATACAATGACCGACAGGATCTGTCCTTCTCTTTGAACCTACACATGAACTAACTGTTAATATAAGAATTCAAAACAAAACCAGATTTTGAGTGCCCTCTTCTGGCCTTACAGTAAAATCTTGATTTGTTAGATTCAGACTTCATAGTTAATATTATTTTCCTAGGAAGCCTCAGCTGCTATTGCATTATAGTCTGAGCATGTTTTTTTCCTTGCACGGTCGTGAAGTGAAACAAATGTTGAGCTTAATTATAGGTAGCACTTTTCTGGTGATGCTGTTTATGTTACTGTGTACAATGTACGAAGATGACTGGCCCTTCGAAAAGTATCAGCTGCAAGGTAAAACATTGAAGTGACAAAGAAAGGGAGAGCTTGACACAGTTATAGTCTTTAAGATTAGAATAGCAGCTCTTTCTTCTGCCTCATCTCATTTGATACAGCTTTGCTTTTAGATTCACTTTTATCTTTCCCTGTGCATATCACATCAATGCACACCAGACAAATCAAGACTTACTGTTCAGTTGTTTTCTGAAGAGTGATTAAAACTGACAGTCAATGGTTGCCTCTGTTGTTTAGGACACTGGAAGCTTTTCTAAGGATTTCCTCTATTCTTCTTGGAAAATATCAGTCACAGAGAAGTGTACCAGCATTCTTTCTTTACATTTTTATTTGTAAAACAGGAGAAAATGTTTGAATTGGGGAGACATGACAGGATGTTTCAACAGTGGTTGTTCTCTTAAAAAGATCTGTTTGAAAGCACAGGGGCATCTTTAGGAAGTTGGAATCTAAATGGACTGTGAAAGTGTTTTCTCATCAGTAAACTTGCACTGTTTGTATTGAGCACAGAAGCAAATGATGGTCTAAAAGCGAGTCGACAGGACATATTGAAATACAGGCAAGGCTCAGTTAGTATCTTGATACCTCACATCCAATGTCAGATGGAGGTCAGAATAAGGCTGGAGGAAGGAATTACTTTGTCATTGGTATTGTTTAAAGGTAACAGCCAACCCTCACAATTCTGGTTGCCTTCACTCATGAGAAACATGAAGTGCGACTAATTGTCAGACAGGGTTGGGGTGCTGGAGAGCAGAGGCGCAGGCTCGTAGGTTTTCTTTTTGGCTTTTGTATTTATAACTAAAGGATCCAAATGCTGCTTGTGCCTCTCTAGTAGTGGCAACTGGCATGATACAGCCCAAGTGAGAACATAGTGCAGCAGTTGGACTATCCATGTCCTCTCGAAGATGCACCAGTGTGCTTTGCTTCTCATTTGCATCGTTATCACAAGAAATGATTGTCTGGTGCAAGCTCTAGCTACTTGTTGACCTAAAAATAAAAAAAAATAGGAAGGTGATTCTTTTATTACTATGCTGAAAAGTTGCTATATATTGAAATCCAGTATTTTGTCTCTCCATTCTCGTAATGTCTCATTAAATTGTGACTATTTGCGCGGGCAGACTGGTTTGCAGCCTGCTTTGTATTACTCAAAATAGTAACCTAGACTTACCCCAGCATTTAATCTGTCTCCATTCATTAGGAATATTTAAGCATAATAAGATTATATTCAGAGTACTTTCCAAAAACAGGATAAATATCCCAGAGAGCCATTTACTTGTAAAACTAAACTGCAGGTTGTGGAAGAATACCTGCTTTCAAGGCAAATAGTTGGCATTTCCTACCACTTGCAATTGTACCTAGATTTTTGGCATCACATTTTTTGGTATTACAAAAGGGTTAGCAGTTAATTTGGTGGCGTTATTTGGATGCCTAGGCATAAAAATGCTGGTGACTAATTTGGGATGAAGAAAAGACAATGCAACACCTACCTGAGGTATCACATTTATATTTAAATTTAAAATTAGTTTTCTGTGTCTAATGAAATTGATTTAAATGTTTATATCGGCAGCCAGGGCTTTCAAACATGAGGACAGTTCCTGAGTGTTTAAGGACAAACCCAAATTTTTGCACATAAGTAACACTCATGGGTGTTGGGTGTCTGACAGACACACTGTGTGAATCAGGGAGCCCAGGCATGAGTTCCTAAAGGACCCTGGGGTTGTTCTGCTGCAGTTTTTGTGTATTGAATTGCTGGTCTCCTGAAATAATTGTTTACTTTCAAACCTGTTGGATATTGCAGTCATTCTGTTTGACTTTAAAGAGTGTAATAATGCACTCACGGGAATGTAATAACAAAAATACTTAATCTTGTGTGTATAGTATGAAATGCCGACATGAATAATCAGAAGTGTATTAAAACTCTTTAACTGCTGAATTTGACACGGACACTTCAGCTGCTTTGCAATACAGTGACTACCCTTACTAGTTGTAAGGGGCTCTAGWATTTATCAGTCAAGTGGTTTATTTATCAAGTGGTCTGAGTGAGCAGAAAAATCCTAGGTGTGTTTGATACTTGCTTTTCAGGCCTGGGTGGGTAAATGCCATAATTTGATGCTGTAAAATTCCACTGCAGTGTTGCACATCATTTGTGAAGTCTGTGCTGGCATTTTAAGGATAAACGTGCCCCTCATTCCCTCTGCCCCTTCTGCTGTGGTCCGTGTTGCAGTAATATCCAGGAGCTGCGTGGGCAGCGCTGAAGCGCAGCTGCTGTGCTGGCACCACCATGGAAAGAGAAGTCACTTCTCACCTAAAAGACMTAACACTGAACCCGAGCCCTCCCTGTGAGGATAAGGGAATGGGTCACTGGGTGGAGTGTTTGGCCTAGTCGTCTATATTGTTTTAAGCAGCTCCATGGAAAACTTAATAGTTGGACAGAAGTTTGTAGATGTGCCTGCTCTGCATCTTGCCTTGACTATCTGCTTCCTGCTTACGAATTTCAACCAAAGCAATTCTGTATTGTCAGATTATGCGTTGTCCCTGAATAACATGCCAGAGGTGCTTTGGCTATAGCAAGGGCTAGCAGTGACTGATGACCTAGAGCTCCTTCCTTACGCAAGTTCATCTCCTTTTCTTCCTGACCTGAAGAATTGCAAGTGAGCTTGTGCATGCAAGATCTCTAGATGTTGCATTCCCAGCCCCAGGCCTTCCACACTGCTTGCAGTTCAGGCTTTGTAGATAGCAACCACTAGAGGCCAGTGTGATTCCATACTTGACTTATCTCTTAGTTCTAAGAAGAATACCATACCCATTCATAAAGCAGGCCATGCTTCAACTGTGAAGCTGTGTGAAGGCACCAGTAGCTCCTACTTTTCCATTGTTGCAACTGCCCACTATAATTGAAGAATAAGTGAGAAATGCCCAGACAGCACTGAGTTAAAATTATTTTTCAACACCATTAGCGGGCAGGGTCTTTTTTTTAAAGGTAAATTTRGGGTAACATCAAGAGAATATTGCATGGTATCCTTATGTGAAATAAGGCAAGAGGTTCCACCTCCCTGGGCCCTTTGTTGTCGTTGTTGTTGTTTTATGTCGTTGTTGTTTYGCACAGGGCAGGGGAAGGGGAGATGTGCAAGAGCATTGTTTCGGGGTGAAATATTCCCAGGATTCAGCACTGCTTCCTTTTGGTAATTAAATTATTAAAATCAGTGTACTGAGCATTAGACTGAGCATTAGATTTGTATAACCCACTTGTGCCTCTTTTTTTTTGTTCTGTTATTTTGCAGATATTTCAAGGGAACACTGAATATTACCAGGAAGTTCGCAATAATTTCATTCCACCTATTATTGCACGTTTTGTCAGGATTAACCCCTTAAAATGGCACCAGAAAATTGCAATGAAAGTGGAACTCCTAGGATGTCAGTTTAGTATAGGTAAGACAACATAACGCCTTTGAATTGTGCAAGATAAAATCTGTGAAGCAGTGAAATAAGTTTGTAAAGATTATATTGTGGGTAGATTTTCAACTACCCACAGTTAAAAATATACTTTCTCTAAAGACACCAGTCTTTCTCTGACTGCTACTTTTGTGGATTATTTTTTTAAGTTATGAGGCTTATCGGCCTTTTTAGGTGTAACAAGTGTGTTTCAAAAGACGTCAGTCACTTTCCATATTTGTTTTTCTCGCATCTTCTTCTTTTCCTCACCGTGTAACACAAACTTTAGAATAAAAAGGGGTCCAACTGTCTTTTCTTGAAAAAGAAACTGAAAAAATAGCACCTTTACAAATACTTTTCTTCTGAAGGCCGTGCTCCAAAATTTACCATGCGGCCACCACCTCCGAACAGCAACGATGACAAGAATGATGCCTTCAGTGATGACTTCATGCATTCAGTGAGGACTTCACTGGAGACAGATAAAACAACTTTCACACCTGAAATAAAAAATACCACAGTGACTCCCAGTGTAACCAAAGGTACCTACATTTAAGCATTAGAAGTTCAAAAACCCCTTATAGTACTTTGCATACATTAAATGGTTCTGAATTTAACTTTTCTCCAAAATCTTTATATGCTGTAGCAAATAATCACTTTAATATAACGTAAATCATCACTTTAATATAAGTACTCTAAGATGCTTATGATAAAAATTTACAGTTGCATACAGTATGCAGAAATAAAACCAGTTCRAAAAGAGAAGTAAATACCAACTGTCTGCTTTTAAAATTATTATTCAAATCAAAGTCAGCTTTTAATTACATAATAGATTTTCCATTAAAAGAAATAGTTGCATTTTTGCTTTCCCYTCAAAATTAATCAGAAGTAACTTCCTTGTTGTTTAATTTGACCTTTTTTTAGGACAAAACACTTTTGGTATAGGTTATCTTTTACAGAGTGTACGTGTTGGCATGAAGTTTGAWAAACATACAGTCTGGCAGGATCATGTTGTTTATCAAAGAAAATGTTGAGAAAGGGAGAAAGATTACTGCAAGTATAGGCACTGATGAGCATCCTTTAGTGGGCAGCAGACAGGTCTGCAAACCCTGCGTAGACTATAACAGTACTGTAGTGTTTGCTTCTTGTAGGAGGGTCAAACCTAAGTGGTTGTCTTCTCCTGACATCTTTTGCCTTTCTTGGTTCATAATAATCCATGTCTTTTCAATGAAAAAAATATTTATATCAAAAAAACCTTTGATTAAAAAAAAAAAAGCTTGCAGAAATGCTGCCTATGTGTCAACAATGTGGGTGTTAATGCTGTTTGAGCTGTAGGAGCATCCAACAGGGCAGCATAGCTGCCAATAAGCCAATGCAGTAGACAGAAAGCTACCTAGAAAATGACTGGATGACAAGTAATGACTTTCTCCAAGTGATTTTCAAGCATAAACCCTTCTGTCTCACACCACTTTGTTTAATGACTTTGCAGACGTGGCATTGGCAGCAGTTCTGGTTCCAGTCCTCGTCATGGTCTTCACTACTCTGATTCTTATCTTAGTTTGCGCGTGGCATTGGAGAAACCGGTAAGTGACTGGAGTAATAGAAGTGCTTTAAAGGAATGTTAGTCTGGTGTTTGGAATCGAGATGTTTTGCATGAAATACAATGGGAACTACATGGCCTGCATTTCTGGAGAGTCTTTTCAGCATTGTGTTGTGTTTGTGAGAAAATGCCCTTTTTAATAGCTAATGTGATGGAAACTGCTTTCTGTAACTATTCTCATCAAAAAATGCTTTTCCGGAACAGATTTTTTCCGGTAGCAGCAGACTGGTAATGGGAAGTCAGGTTATTGGTGCTTGTACTTGACCACCAGTTACAGCAAAGGGAGCAGCTGCATCTTCTGATAAGCACACTAGCTAAAACACTCCCTTTTCTTTCTCTCATAGCAAGAAAAAAACTGAAGGTACTTATGATCTACCTTACTGGGATCGTGCAGGTAACAAAAACGGTTTAATAAAATACTTTGCTTGGCATTCTTGCTTTAATATGTATCTCAAATTGCAGTAGCTTAGGTATTTTCCAGTGGCAGTAACCCTTCTCTATTGCTGGTTTATTATAAATGTAGGGATAGTAAACTCTGAATGTCCTTTCTGAGCAGACTTTACTTTTGGTTCTCTGAACTTTCTCCAGAAATAAAGTCYTTTCTCCAATCAGACCTACAACTATAAAATTATTTTAGTAAACAAAGCTGAGAGCCCCTTACTTAGAGCAAGATGAGAAAAACTCGTGTCTAAGGAATGTTTATTAAACAGTACCTGGTATTTTTTTTGCCGGAAAAAGCATCTTGGCATACAGACCTGTCAAGTTTTATCTGTCTTTTTTGCCCTATTAGTAGTGTGGGATGACTTGAATCCCCTTTTGGGTAGAACTTCCCAATCTTGCGCTCCTGTTCCTCCTCATTGAGATCAGGCACTTCTGCAGGGCAGTGCTTGTCTAGTGCCCTGAGAATCCTCATGCTAGAGCTTAAGCCGAGACCTGCTGCAGCCGTTGGCTTCTTACTGTTCATCTGATTGTGCTTCATTTTTCTGTCCTCATTTTAATAGTCTGCATCTGTGCATTTGTTCAGTGACAGCTTTAAATGTTCCTTGCCCTTTAGGCAAGAAATCTTTTAATGATTTTATTTATTATAAATCCATTTCTGCTAGATCCTAGCATTGTTATATTAGAATGTTAAAATCAAAATATGAGGTATTTAAACGTTAATAATAGACATGAGGGATATTTTTTCATGATTGTTTGAATATCTGTGTTCAGTATGCAAGTCCGTTATAAAAGGAACCTGCAATTCAGCAAAATGCAATTTCAGAAAGTGCTGTTCTAATCTATGGCCTCTCTCTCTCTGACCCTACTCACAGATTACTTCAAATTTTGTTAAACACTGTCTGGTTTTGAATCTGCTCTTTGGTCATGCAAATACTTACTGCTTGCCTTACTTGCTACTGCAAAATATAAGCTGTGTAGTACAAAAGACTTCTCTTCAGTAGCTTAAAATATAGAACATAAAGATTCTTACCTTTTTCTTTTCCTTAATCCATGCAAAGGATGGTGGAAAGGAATGAAGCAGTTTCTCCCCACCAAATCAGCAGACCACGAAGAAACTCCAGTTCGCTACAGCAGCAGTGAAACTAGTCGCCTAAGACCCAGGGAAGTCCCAGCAATGTTACAGACAGAGGCTGCAGGTACTTCGAACACCTCCTGAAATACAGATCTGATCTCAGAGTACCATGGGAGTAGGTATTAATTTACTGATCCTGCACGATGGAAAGATATTTTTGCAAGTAAATGCAATAACCCAAAGTTTCTTTACTTGTTCTTAAAACTCAGGAAGGATTGAAAGTCTCTTTAGCCATGTTTCAGGTACTGAAAATAACTCCATCACATCATAATTGCACATAAGGCTGTAATAYATCACATGTATCTGCACAGATAATATAAATTAAGCCATCCCTTCAATTTGGAAAATGGAGAATTCCTGATAACAGGATGTGCCATTTATTTGATGAACCAGTCGCTGGAGGACGATGACTCTGCCTTTGGGTCTGTGTTTACTCATTGATGGCAGAAACATGCAGACCTGCAGCCTTCTGGCTTCCCACCAGGCAGAATTGCTTCTTTTTTGGCTGCCAGCTCGTCTGTTTTTAGGCAGCTGTCCCATTTTCTCACTTCCAGCCTTTGTTATTCAGATCACCTGTCAAACTAACACAGCTCGGCAGACCATGTGCAGGCTTTCCCTCCCGCAGCCACACTTGAGCCAAAGCCAGCCAGGATAACTTCATTTAAGTCAAATTTTCCAGGGAAGCAAGTTCCAAAAAACTAAGAAGTTTGCTTTGAGGCAGATTTGCAACAAGGGAAATTGTGGCTTACATGGGGAAAAAATGTGTTACAAACCTAAGAAATCAGGATCTCRTGGCAGAAGTTACCTAGCAGCTTGTAACTGACTGTTATTTTCCGAAGCACCTAGCAGTGGCAGGTAGAGCCCATTGGTTTGATCACGGATAATAATTTCTGTGACGCTCCTGATAGGATCTGTTTATTGTGATGCCACGATTAATGAAAAATGCATAAATTGTCTACATGTGTTTTCCTTTGCCGGGTCTTGCCCGCAGAGTATGCCCAGCCGCTGGTAGGGGGGCTGGTCGGCGCACTGCATCAGAGATCCACCTTCAAGCCRGAGGAGGGCCAGGAGGGGAGCTACGCCGACCGGGACCCGTACAGCTCCCCCGCGCCCGAGCTCTATCACGCCTACGCCGAGCCGCTGCCCATAACGGCGCCCGAATACGCCACCCCCATAGTCATGGACATGTGCGGCCACGGCAGCGCGCCGCTCGGCGCCGCTCCCGTTTCCACCTTCAAGGCCGCGGGGGCCCAAGGCGCTCCGCCAGCAGGACCCTACGACAGCCTCTCGTGTCGGACAGAGAGCCCCGCGGCAGCGCGGGCGCTGTACGATACCCCCAAGGGGCAGCCGGGGCCCGGCGCCGCGGCCGAGCTGCTCTACCAGGTGCCGCAGGGGCTGCCCCATCCCGCCGGCGACCGGCCCAGGTAGCCGGGCGGCTGCGCTGGGAAAGCCACCCCCTCTCCTTTTGGAATCACTCTGTCTTAATGTTCTTCGTCTTAATACGGTCGAAGCAAAACACGTGACAAGGGAGGTCTGGGAAAAGCRGCGATCCTGCCTTTCCCGTTGTATGCGAGTCCGCCTTGTCTCCGGAGAAGCCAAGGACTTCTGTTTTCTACAGTTGTCTGTCAGCAATGAAGGAACTTTTCGAGATTTACTTCAGCGATGTGAATTATCAGTTGGGAGAAGCAGCTTGAAGTAGGAAAGTCAGTAATATAGGTCTTGCTAATGGTACTATTTCTTAAAGAACAAGCAAGCAAAAATCTCCTAAACTCTATATGGAAGYGCGAGGGACTCCAAAGTTCATTTTCCCTTAAGGAATAGCTGCACAATATTCCAAAAACACATTAGTTGAGACTGATGGCAGAAAAAACACATTAACATCTTGAGAAAGCAGTCTCAGTGCTAATCTACATTATTCCAATAATGTATTCTGCATTATTCCGTTTTGTTCACAGAAATGGGAATCACCGTGTGTGTGTGTGTGTGTGTTCCTCACATGCTTTCCACGCCAGTTTTATCATCTTTCTGAAACCAGAATCTGGTAGCTCCATAGTTTTTCTCCTCCGTCTAGTCTCAAGCCACTCAGCCCCGTTACTTTCCAGAGGAACGGTAGGCACAGACTAAGGTTTTAAGGAAACTCCAAAGCAACTGGCCCTGTGTCTGCCTTGAACCCAAACCTCCCCCCAAGCAGACAGGCGGCAAGAAGCTTCCAGGTGCTCAAGGAGACCAAATTTGAGAGTTTTTTCCCCCTCGAGGTGTCTGTTGTTGTGTGTTTGAAGATGTGAGCACATACAAAGAAAGAGATGTGCCTACTTTGGTGAGTCCATGCGGAAGGACACAAATACCCAAACAGTGCCTAGAGCTCGGGTTGTTCTACCTGCAGTTTGCACATCAGGCACATCTCAGCACAATTKCAAAGCTTGGCCCTAGGGCATTTTTTTTAATGAATGTTCCTTATTAGAAGTATAAAAGACTCCAAAACCTTTGCTTAGATGCAGGCTGATTTCAAGTGTGCTAATTTCAGAAGCATTTAATTGAGTATATAGCCTTTGAATGTTCCAGTTTTCCCAACCGTAAACGTTGTGGCCCATCTGAGATAACATAGGCTAGTTTTATTTAGGTGATCACCTAATGAAAACAATTCTGATGCCATATTTACCATTTTTATCTTGTTAGAAAGAAAGCACAGCATTTTTTTATAAAAGCATAAGTAGTAGAAACAGCTCTTAAAAATAAAGCTATTTTTATTGTAACCGCACTGTTGGGAAGACAGTGAATGAACTTACAAATGTGAAAACCCTGGGTTATACATTAGCCYAGTTTTATGGATTTTTACTGTTTTTTTTTAATTTATTTGTTTGCTGTTTTTTCTTCCCCTGTGATGTAATTCAAGTGAGCCTTTTCTGTTGCCCATGGTGCATGTGCTGGATGGATAACATCCAAGCAGAAGCTAAAATACGGTTACAAATGTTTCATAGCAGGACAGTTGGTCTTATAAATAGTAATTGTGCCACTGCACAATTGGTCTGCACAGAAGCTGTAACACAGTCACACAGAGCAGAACTACCTGTGGCCTGTCCGACATGCAGAATGTGTCATTAYCTACCCTGTACCCAGCTCCAGAGGCTGCTGCTACAGGTTTTTCATCATGAGAATGACTTTTTTAAGAATTGGGTGCCTAATTCCTAAATGTGAATACAGAAATAAGGGGTAGCATGCGAAAGCCTATTAATGRAAAAGAAATTCCTGCATATAAGTTGTATTTTTTGATAATATTGCAGCTTATTCTGCTTGATGAGGCTAGTCTGCAAGCTTTGTAGTTTTTTTGCTTTAAAATGGTTAAGGTTGTTCGTACCCATCAGTAGCAACTATGACTTGGAAATTAACTGAGCTGATTTTATATTTAAAATGTGGAAGGAAGGCATCAGAATGTGACATTGCGATTCCAGGCAAATGAAGAAACTTCTGCTTTCCCAAACTGTACAACTTTAGGCCAATTTGCCATAAAAATGAATGGATGTGTTCAAAGAGAGAAAAAGTAACACTCTTGGAAACCTGCATTTATTTTTTACTGTAGGAGAGGTATGGTCGAACTTACGGTATAACGTAGGCCGAGATGGTGTGAGAATGAAGCAGTTCCTCAACCCAGTGGCCTGGGTTATTTTGAAGCAACTTTAATATAGTTTCATCATCTGAACAGTGTGAGCAGTTGGCCAAAATGGCTATTTAAGAATATGAGTTCTTTTTATGAAGGAAATTGGTCTTATACTTTGCTCCCTGCTTTCAACTTTGAACATTTTATCTGCTAGAGGAAAAGAGATAAGGTTGAATATGTACAAAGCTGGCTATAAAGTGTATGTTATAAACTGCTAAATGTGGACTTGCCAATATAAGCTGCAAATGACACGGCTAAGCTCAGCCTTTTCCTACGTACAGTCCTAGCAGAGCTGTGCTTAATGAGGTTCTTTTGCATCAACAGAAAGATGGACATAAAATGCATTTCAGTTGTGTTTGGAATAAAAATGGCTTGAGTGTTCTCCCAGAATGTACATTCTTACCTCAGCATGTATTGTAGTTGCTCAGTATTTGTATATGTTGCTAGAACTTAGACTGTATAAATAGTGAGGGTTTTTTTATGTATGTTAAAGTATTTTAAATAAATTGTACATACGAATTATGCTCTGTGTCCGTGTGTTGCTTGGGGCCTGTGCCCTGTCCCGAGGAGCGACACTCCGCGGCTCCCAGTGATGCTGCTGCTGGAGCCACCACTGGGAACAGGCCCTTTCCTCCCGCCCCTCTGCCACCTCATATCACAAGGGGCAAAAAGAGACTTGCCAGGAATCCCCTGAGGAATTTCTATTGGACACGATTGTCAAAAAGTCAAAACCAGCTTTTAAGCTGTCTGTTCAAAATCTTCACCAGGTAAGACTTGACACTCTTATTTATAAGACAGTCAAATTCACTGCTGTTTGACAGATGCACAGCCGTTGATTATGAAACCACCTGATCAGCAAAAAAATTCTGATCCAAGAAAAGGGTATATAAAACTTGAGGACAGTTCCCAGGAAACCCAGACATTTACACCAACAGCCGGCTGTGCTACCTTGCAGGACGAAAAGGAACACATTTTCCCTTTTGCCATACATATGTGTGTGTGTGTGTATATATATATATATATATATATATGTATGCAAAAACACTACTGCAGGTGAAACTGGATGAAAGAATCCTACATACAAGAATGCACACAATCAGGTTGAAATGGAGAAAACCTAGAACAACCTTTACGCATACATCTGCCTGCATGATTGCCTCGTGTAGGTGAGTATATTAAAGAAGTCTAACGTCAAATTGTAGTATAATAATTAAAAATGTCTAAAACCCCTGTCTAGCTAAAAACAAACCAAAAAAATAATGTTGTGATTCCTTTAGCTCTTCTACCACATTGTTTGTGGCTTTCAGCAGGACAAGGTGTAGAGTGGCCAAGCAAATTTAGAAGGCCAGTGGAAGTCTCCAGCTGAGGTTTCACAATACTGTAGTGCAGTCCCTRCTTGAGCAGGATGAGGAAAGGGCAGTGAATGTTTGGCAGAGAATCCCTTTTCYTCAAGTGAGAGTTCTCTAGTTGTGCAGATCTTCTGCGCTGTTCCACCTTGTGCAGATCTTCTGTGCTATCTGCTGTTTTCCAGGCATTTTGTTTGGTTGATATGCTGAAGTCTGATGTTTGCATGTAAGCAGCTGCGTTTCTCTTGCTTTGCTCCTGAAGCTGCTGCAGCTTCACAAGAGCTGGCGCTCCAAGGGGAGCYGTTGGTGGTAATGGTCCAAGGGCCAGGATCCATTTTTCTACTTAGGGAGGCTCCTCCTCCACATTACTAGACTGTTACGTGATTCTTCCTGAAACAAAGACAAAAAGCRTAATTTTATTAGTAAATAAATATAATGTCTTATGTGTGAAACAACAAAGATTCGGGTAAAATAGCCTTTTAGCTACAGAAAAACATTAACAACTGTGTGCCCTACTTGCCCATAGGAGATCCCATTGCAGAGCTTCTGCAGGATTCACACAGGAACCAAGATGCTGCACTTTTGTCACAGCCTAGCGGGTAACACAGGAACGCACCAAAGAGACGACAAAGTGTACTTGCCTTGAATTGATGAGGTATTGGTCAATCTGTTGACAGAGCAGTGAAAATTTCTGATTCACAAGAATCTTGAAGAGATTCGGCATTTGCTTTCAGAGCCTCTTTTGAAAGCAAAGTAGTATTCCGCATCAGAAATAAATGGCCAAATAAACACACACAGAAACAAAAATTGCTTTGTGTATGTAAATATACACTGKGGTAGACTAGTCTGGATTGCATTTGCAGGACGCAAGTAAGAACCTCGTCCAGAAATGGAGAATAATACTGCAAATATGCCTCTGATTTTTTTCTATGGATTTTATCATGATAAGTTTGAAAGAGAAAATAGAATGGGAAAAACTTGAACCCCCTGAAAGAAGTCCCTAAGCCATCTATAGTAAATGCTCAATTATTCCAGTATCTACTTCTACCAAAGGTAACCATTATATTGGAAACAAAWTTTTTTTTTTTTTCGTTAACACTGAAATAAATGGTTCACAAGTTTAAACACCGGTTTCATGCAACAGTAAAGCACTGCACTGGTGCAAACATTAATGTAAAGAGGTAACCAGAACAGGATTTGTGGCTTTCAGTCCACGTAACAATGTTTTAACTGCTGCAGTCCTGGAAATCATCTTCTTTCTGAGGAGTGGGCAAAAAAGAGCTTGTTATTAACTCAAAGAATTGCTCAGCATCCTGTCTTTACCGTTCAGTGYGGGCTTGCTTTAACTGAGTTCTGGACGCAGCATCCATTGATTAAGCTTTGTTAATTAAACATCGTTAACAGAAAGGAAACACAGTTTGCCAGGCACAGATGCCGGTGGTGCTGACACAAGAAGTTACCTGTCTCTCTTTTAGTAGAGAATGAACTGTGTCCAAATGTGCCTGCATCTCTGTCATATAAAGGACTCTGCAGTAGCTGAAATGGGCAAGGCCAGAATCAACCAACAACCTTTTCCTTGTACAAGTTTTTACTCCCAACACAGTAAAGTCTAAAGTCTCAACATCGCACTGGAGGCTTGAACCAAAAAGACTTTTTTCCTCCTTGATGTGTAAGGAAATCGTGCTCTGCCTACCTATATCCACCACACTCCCAAATAACTTTCACGCAAAGTCTTAGGAAAACTTGTCAACATGTCATAGAATCACAGMATCCTTATGGTTGGAAGGGACCTTTAGAGGTCATCGAGTCCAACCCCCCTGCACACACAGGGTCACCTAGAGCACGTGGAACAGGGCTGTGTCCAAGCGGGATTTGAAGATCTCCAGAGGAGACTCCACAGCCTCTCTCCAGGGCTCTGTCACTCTCACTGTTAAGATTTTTTTCCTTAAGTTCCTGTGGAACTTTYAGTGTTTCAGTTTGTGGCCATTTCCTCTAGTCCACCGCTCTGCCCTCATCTATCCAGCTAGATTTCCTGTGGGTGAATCCATGCAGACTATTCCTGAGCACCTTCTTGTCCTCCATGTGCTTGGAGACAACAGCCCAGGATGAGCTGCTCCATCACTTTTCCAGGGATGGAGGTGAGACTGACTGGTCTGTAGTTGCCTGGGTCCTCCTTTTTGCCCTAGACATGTCAAGAATATTACAGTTAYTATGTTAATGTCAAGGATATTACAGTTACTATGAGTTGTATGAAATCTTGAGGGTATACAGGACAAATGTCCCCTCCACCCCATCCCCTTGCCCCAGTGGGAAATCTTTCAGAAACAGCTTAGCAACAATGYTATGCATCTGCATTAGGGTTGACATGATGCCTGCAGCCATTGAGAATGCTCCAGTTATGCAGTTGTGCACCTAAATCTCCTGGCCATGGGATAACACTCCCCTACCTGCCCAACACCAAAAAAAAAAAAAAGGTTGATGAAAATGCCCGGTAGGCTTGCACTCTCTTGTCTAATTTTCCTACCTCACTTTGAAAAGCAGCCGTTGTAGTTAAGATCTCTCTTTCCAATGGTTGCCTGAGGTGAGGTTATGAACTTAGAAAACTGAATAAATTCCCCAAGCCACTTCCTCAATAACAGCCTAAAAAGTCATTG